AAGAGGATTGGATAGGTGACTTCCATTTGACTGCTAGCATTGACCGGGACCGGACAACCAACTTCTACTAAGACCAAACTATCAATGCCAACTAGGACCAAACTACCACCTGTGATTAGGATTGAATGGCAAACTTTCATTGAGATCGTACCACTAACAACAATCGAGACTAAACAACCTCCTATGATCGAGATCGATGATTGAAAAACTGAATCCCACCATGATCAAGACCAGTGACCTTAACTGGGAAAAGACTGTCGGTACCAACTGGGACCAGATCATTAACGATCTGGTCCTGGCCGAGGTTGTCAGTTTGATCCGGTATCGCCAGTCTAGTCACAGTGGGAGCCATCCGTCAAATTCCTATTGTGGGTGGCTATCTAGTCCTAATTGACACTGGCGGGTCAATTTTGGTTGGTGCTAGCAATCCTATCCCAACTAGTGTCGGCGGTCGGGTTCCAATCGTTGCCAGCAATACAATCCTAATGGATGTCTAACGTTCGATCCTAGTTAGCGCTAATGGTTCGGTCCTCATGGAGGTCAACCATTTAGACCATCGACGTTGACCGAGTTGCTTTTAAATTCAAATATAGAATTTAAAATTTAAAATTTTACTTAAGATTTAAACAAAAAATTTTAATATTATAATTTAAAATTTTTTTTATATCATCCAAACAAAGAATTTCAATTATATAAATTTCAAATGTGAGATTTCAAATCCAAATTCACCCATCCAAACACAACCTTAATTTATTTTGTAACATGACTAATCTTAAATTAACTTTAAACAATTTTAATATTGAAAAAATTGTTTCAATAATAGTAACTATCAGTGGTTTAAAGGTCAATAGTCCAACCAGGGGTCAACTTGAAATCAGATTGTTCATGATTAGAATAATATGTTTTAATTTAAAGATACACAAATATTCATATTTAAACAGGACAAAGAGTAATATTCAAATAAAGAAGTCATTAATTCTCAAGTAAATGAAAAATCAATCCATAAAATCTTACACAAATATTAATTATAAATTTATGACAATAATAAAATACAACAACATTAAAAATGTTAATTAAAAGATTTTGATTTAATTTATGGTTCAATATTTAGAAGGGAAAAGAGAGCAAATAAAAGTAATCAAGTCAACCTAGTTCATCTCATTAATTGGATCGGCCTGATGACTAAGGCCCTTGGTCTAATTAGTCAACCCTACCTGTTCTTTATACCATGCATTAATATCTTTTTTTCATACTTTTTATTAAGGGAGTAAATGATATTGCTAATGAAAATCACTTTTTCATTTTATTATTTTTTTCATTCCATATTGAATGTTCATTTTTTTACATGCTAAATAATTAGTATGAATGAAAAATAAAATACTAAAAAGAAAAATAAACATAGTCAATTTAAAATTGGCCCTAAAAAACCTGATATCACTTTATCATCTATAAATTTTATTTAATTCTAATTTAACAACATTGTAAGTAGGGATAAGATTGATTTTTTAATTATACATTTGAGATTAAAATTAGGTAAATACTATGCATTGTATGGTGTTTTGGAAAATGAGTTAAATTATTTAATGTTCATGGGGGAAAAAAAGCTTGATAGAGATTTTATATCAGGCATACATTTAAAAATAAAAAATAATAATAAAAATTAAATTATAAAGGATCATTATTGATAATAAATTTAAAAATAAAGCTTGCTGTCCTTTTTACACGATAACTTCCCGTCAATTCATTGAAGTCAAAGAAAGATTGTTCAACCATTTTATCTTGCCCACAGTTCGCAGGATCATTGTCTTATTTTTCTCGGCTTCGATCATCTAATCATACACCTTTGGCTTGTTCCTGGATGAAAGTATTTTAAGGTATGCATTTTTTATTTGAGTAAGCTTGTCAATTTTAACTGAAATATTTCATTGCTGTTGCATGAAAGAAGCGATATTGAAAGAAGGGTTATACAGGGACACTCATTTTGAATAGAGGGATTGTATTGAATTACTTACTTCCTATGATATCAATAGTTTAAGGCCAGTTTATTTTGTCAGGCAGGCCAAAATAAAGGCCAGTATATTTTGAAATAAACGTCGTAGAGAATTTTTATTGAATACAAATTGGCTAATCTGATGGAATTCTTGGCTATATTTCTATTGTCTTTCTATTAGTATTTCATAGTTAATGTCAATAACATCCAAGGCTTCGTGTGTTGGCTGGGTTTCATTAGAACATGACAATAGAATGTCTAATGACTTGTGAAGGTTGGTTTGGCTGCTTGACAGTGGGTGAAAATATAGTTTAGGTTGATATCCTTTGTATTAATTGATCTACACGTGCCAGCCCATTTTATATATTTCCTTATGATGTCTGATTTGATTTAAATGTTCTCATTTTGAGACCTGAGTCAAATCACATTTGGCAGACTTGTACTTGGTGGAGAGCCAATTATGGATGCAAGTGATTAGAGAGCTGAAATGCAGCCTGGTGCTCGTAAAAATGCTGTCCAACAAATGTAGGTCTAAATCTTTTTTTGTATTTCAAATCTGAATTTTTCTTTGTTTCTGTGGGTGCTTTAAAATTGAAAGGCTTCCCTCAATCTTCACTTGTTTGTCATGTAAATTTAATTTGTTCATAATTTCATGAATATATATATATATATATAGATATATATGTCTGAAGCAGACTCTTGGTGCCATTGTTTATGATTGGCCAACTTGCTAAACTATTGCCTAGTTTTCTCTCTATGAATACAACAGTGTAGAATTCAGAACTATAATTTGACCTTTTCAACTTCCTTTGAAACGCCAGTGTTCTTCATTCTCAAATCTATAATTCATGCTGAATGTTGATATTATGCTATCATAGTTGAGGTCTGAGCAAGAACTTTGATAGGGTAGTTTTACACATACTTCTTAATAGGATGAGCTTGACATGATGCACAAGAAGCCTGATTGACAATTTGTGTATCATACTATCATTGCTATAATGGTATTGTCGACAATTTGACTTTGGAGTTATGAAGTGTCCACGTCAGAAAAGGAATTTCTTTTTCATACATGTTGAGCATTTATATTGTACACAAAGCATTTGGAGACTCTGCTTGTTATATTCTGCTTTTCATGTTCATGTTACGTCCATGAATGTAAATGTGCTTCTCATTGCTTTTGGAATCTGCCAATATGTGATGTTGCATTTCATTGTAGCTTGGCAAGATTGGTTTGTGTTGCCTTTTTTATTTTCACCTTGGTGTTTTTCCATACACCAATAGTTTTTCTATTTGATATAGTTGACTAGGTATACATTTTTCTTCTTTTTGATGAATTATGATTCTAATGAGGCTAAGGTGGCATGAGATGTCTAATTCTCACATTGAGTATGTGGGTTGCTATATAAGGTACTTAAATAGGTTGGTTTCCTCACCTCAATAATTAGTATTTTCATGGGGGCACCTCATTTAGGTACCCAGCAATTTGGTATCAAGGCTAGTAGTTCTTGACTCCATAAAGGATTTATGGAGGATTCTGACTAAGGGTTTAGACTGGGATACAAATAAGTAAAGTGTTGTGGAGTGTGGTCATCAGATGTTGACCCTCCAAGAGAGTCAATTGATGGAATTTAGGTGATATGGAATTCCAAGTCCCAAATTCAGCTTCTTGGGATGCTTTATAGAGTACTTAAGGCAGTTTGTTTTCCCACTTCATTTTCTAGCTTTTGAAAGAAGACTCCTCTAGTCCCCGCCTAACTATCCATTAGCTTCTAATATGTTATTAAGTTGATTTCATCATATTCAACTACCTGTTACATGTACTTGTAAAGAGCCGAGCTTAATGAGTCACTTCATCTATTTTTATTCTTTTATTCTTTTGTTGTTTTTTCCTAGTTTCTAGGTCATATACTGTTGTCAGGAAAGAAAAATTGGTCATTGGTAGTATCTATTTGTGTAATTCATATCACATTTGTTTTCTATGTATCTTTTCTTAATTTGAAAGAGGGAATTGAAATTAAATGTTGATAATGTATTTTCGTTTAAGGCATAGTTATTAATAGCTTTACAGCTTGTAACTCATCGCAATGCAACCTTACAATATGCCAATTTCTGGCACGACAACTTTCATATAGCCTTTTTGTAACTATGCTATAGGAGCTACTATGTCTAGCTGTAATTAGAACTACATATAAATTGGGGAACAAATAGTCATAATTTATGTGATTTTACAGAGGTGACAATCGGAGATTCACTTGACTTTTCCTTAGACAACCAAATATTGAATGATTTTGTATTCATTAATCATATTTAGAGCATGAGAAGAGGGCCAATCTCTTCTCATGCTCTTGAAATGGTTGATGAACAAATGAAACCTTTGAAAATGAAGAGAAGATTGAAGGATTGCCTGTTGACAATCATTATGATGATATTTCATTTGAGGAATAAGAGGAATTGATTGGCATATATTATTCTAAAGCTTAGACTAAAAAATTTGCAAAACGCTGATGCATCAAGTTGAGTACTGAATGTTGTTATTTATGGATAATTATTAGCAGACTTTTTTTATTGCTTTACACTTTGAGTGATTATATATATATATAGAATTAAAAAAAGTATGGCATTTTTTGATGTCAGGCATTTTTTGAGGAATTGGATATTCAAAAATGTAAAACATTTTTAGCCTTTTGAGGTGTAATAATTACCTTTTTTTTCAAAAGTGCCCCTATTGATGAATGACTTTATATTTATTGTAGGGTATTTAATAGGGGTAAATATAGAAAGATAAGGTCAGTTTGAAAGTAAATAACTATTTTATTGCGGGATGAGATTTGATTAAAAATGCTTTATATTTTTAAATAGAGGGAGTATATGTTAGTGATTTATCAATTATATTTGGGGTTTTTTAAATTTGCTACTACATAACAAGGATGTTATTTGCTTTAGAGCCTTTGATTGTTTAAGAACTCTCTTCACCATCTTATGACTTGAAAGTGAACTGTTCTCTTAGCTATGAAGAATAAATACAGTAAAGCTATATTGCCATTATGATGATGAAGACGGCCTGCAAGAACTATAAGAATTTTCTCAAAATTTTGAGAAAAAGACTTTTGCTGTGCAGCAAGCCAGGTATGCTCAATTCTATTTCCAGATCTTGAAGTTATTATCATCTTTTAAGGTATCTATGTAAGCATATTAGATTGAGAATGTAATGAGGCAACCCTTCTCTGTTTTTTTTTTGGGTGGTGTGGTCAACTACATGGATTTTCTTATGCTCATTTCCTTTATGCTCCCAATTTCAGTCGGATTATTTGCACAAAATAACTTTGAAGGAGGTTTCAATAAAGAGTAAGTCTTTAAACTTGATGTTTGACTTTGTAGCATCAAATTGAGTTGTTTTAGCCTAATTAAGCTTTTTGTTATTCGAGGTTTCTTTATTTTTGAAGCTTCTACATTATGGTTTGGTAGGTCTAAAATGGACTGTAAATGACTCAATCACTTGTTGTTCAAGCAGTTATTATTTGTTGGACAAAATATTTGGTTTTTTGCTATTGATTTGACTTTCATCCGTGGAACTTTATAACATTTTCTGGGTTTCCGAATTAAATTTGGGGCATATTGATTGTGCACTCTATATTATTGATTCAACTATCACTCAAATTTTGTTCATTTGTATTATAATGTTGTTTCCTATTCCCTTCATTAAAACAGAGTTCTTTCTCCTCTATCTGTAACTTGTTAGGTACTCACTGTCTATTGAAAGAATGTAGTGAGAAAAGTTTATATTGCCATTTCTTTTTTAGTTGGTTGATGCAATAATACCTTCTATATCAGTTTCTTATGATTAGTTACCTCTTTGCTCTTTTTTCTTTTAAAGAAGAAAGTGATAAGTACTATTTTAAGTTATTTATTTGAGCAATATGTACTCATGTATTTATATCATAATAATGTTTGTCCTAGGGAAAATGCAAGGAGAGGTTTACCAAAAGGTAAATGTCCTATTCTTTTTGCCTTTTCTATTTTCTTAATAAAGCTGGCAGAACAAGAGAAAATAGTCAAGCCAACCCAAAATAAGTATTGGACAGTGATTGCCCTTTGGTTGAGGAAAATTGTGAACATTACATGAACTCACATTTTTGTATTTTACATTTTTAAATTATAACATTAAGTACAATGATTTGAATCCTTGAGATACTAATATTTTGATTTTTTTGATTTTTTTAATTTCAACCTACAGATCCTAGTGTTAAAGGAAATGTACTTGCCAGAATTGAATGAAATGTACCAGAAAATTGCTAATAAACTTCAGAAGGTATCTTAGGTTTTCTTTATCTCTTTGGGTACTGTTACCCGATGTCTCCTTTGGTTTTTAATACAAGACACTTTTTAGATGTTTTGCCCTCTCCTTAATATAATACACTTCATAAAATTTAGTTAAGCATTTATATATTATTTCCATAATTTTAATTAAGGGTAGTTTGGGAATGTTATAGTTATTTTTAAAGAAATCAAAAATCTTAACTAATGTTAACCACCTTTCTTAATCCACATAATTCAGTTAAAAGTGTATCTAACATTGTTAACTTCAAATTTAGACATTGTTGCCCAGATTGGGAGTAGCTATCCCACTTTACTTTTTTCTGCTGACAAGGTTCAAAATCTTGATCTTTGTAATATATGTTGTGTCCTTTCAGCGTTTCCATGGACAAAACTGTAATAAGTTAGCAATGTCAAGCCCACCCATGGACGAAACTGTCTTTTTTCAGTGTTTTCATGACTTTTGAGTTCTGAGTAACATATATGCCGTTCTGCCATTGAAGCCTATGCTAAGCTCTTTGAAACCAACCTCGTTTCTAGAATATCTGATAATTAGTTAGTTATTTGAATTAGTTATTATCTCATCAAATCAGTTAAGGATGTATGAGTGTAAATATGTATGAAGTTAAATATCATGCCTTAACTCTTCCTAATTTAAATTTAGGAGTTGTGACCAAACCTGTATATTAGTCTAAATGAATAAAAGCTACATAGTATGATTTTTCTACATGTTTTTATATGATAGCTGATAAAACAAGATAAAATGAAAGTGAAAGTACAAAGAAATAGATCTTGTTGGAGAAATGAATGAATACCAAGGATCCTGAATATTTATGAATCTGATAATCACGAATAGAATCATTTAAGTACACAAGACACTTAATATTCTGATGAACTACTTCTACCATCATGCACCTATTTACACTAGCAAAGCATATGAAGAAATACATATTGGAAAGAAAGTAACTAAAGCCCTACCAACTACATGCGGGAGATGTGGGATTTTTTATTGATATTGTAATTTGATAAAAATTTAGCCTTATGCATATAATTTACTCCTTCCAGAGTCCAAACCATAGTATAGAGCATTTTTTTGAACTCATACTTGTTCAAAATATAAGGTATTGATTCTCCCTTCATTTATTATTCCTTTTAAAAATTGATTCATTAAAATTTCAATTGTCATTATTAAGATATTCAAGACAATGTTGACTATCTATCAGGTTGACTCTCTTCCACAGCAAGCAAAGTCAGACGTATTTATGAAACTGAAGTTATTTAAAGCAATATTGGAGCGTCTTACGGCAATCCTGCATATTTTGAGAGTGACATACCTCCTGGCATGAGCAAGAAATTAACTTTATATGAGAAGCAAATTATCAATTTTATAAATATGAATAGGCCAAAGAGTAATCTAGCAGTGCAAAGTCCCATCATCTCCCCAAGTTCTGTAGCATCATCTAGTAGCTAATGCACCATCATGATGGATGATCACTAGTCTTGTTATGGTATGGAGGTGTGAATTTTGGAGTTGACATTGCAATCTTTTAAAAGATGAAATCTTTTTACTTTGTCAGAAGGTGGCAGCCTTCATCAACTTCTTGTTAATTTACAACTTGATTAGTATATCTTTGATGGATTTGTAACTCTAAAAGGTTTGACTTGTAACTGTGTGTGAAGATTCATAAATTATTAAATATTAAATTATTAATATTTTAATAAAATATTATTAAAATGAGTATAATACTTTTAATTACTTGCTGATATTGTTACTGATAATTGTGATCCGATAATCATCTTGTAGTCAGACAAGTGGCTAATTAAAATGGCATTTTGATATTTTACATAGGTAAAAAAATAATATTAGTCTATTAGCATTTATTTGTAATTTAAAGAATTTTATTGGCATTAATGTTTTTAGAAGATATTTATTTGTATTTTTTAGTGTACTTGAAAAAAAAAAGGATAAACTAACACTTCAACCATAATTTAAATAAGTACAAACTTAAAAGACTCCCGAGTGAGTTTGATGCTTTATCACTTCCATTATACAAACTTAGCTTACTCTTATATGGGTTTAAGGCAATGTTAAATGTAAACATTTTCTATGAATTTATTAACTTGTTTTAAGTTGTTGTCTATCTTTTCACAGAATATGAGAATTGAAAATCAAAATTCTTAATAGCGATTACTTGCAAGAAAATGATATCGAAGCTATAAAATCTTTAAATACCGTATTTAAAATAATGATAATAATTTAAACATAAATAACTTAATTTTAAATATCATGGAAGATATTTCTATTCATTCAAGAGTTCTATCAAAACAAGAATATCATTAAAGAGAACCTACTAAGTTTTAAAATAAAAATAAATGTGAACAGAGGCTTGGCTTTGTCTTAAAGCTACTAATAAGATCATTGTTCGATAGTGTCGTGTCATTTTCAAGTACCCCCAATCCCTTTTATAAGAAACAAATAACTAATTCATCAATATTAAGAAATATAATTAAAAATAATTAGAATCAATAATCTATATGCTAAAAATGTAAAATTATTTTATCAAAAATACCCTCACTTGTGTAGTTGACTGGTTAGTAATGAATACTTATATTAATGAGAGCCAAAAAAAACAAAAGGAAGATCTAATAAATGCTCAAAACAAGATATTGTTAATTCTTATAAATTGGATCAAGAACTCTGCCAAAATTTTCCTATAAAAAAGACAAGAGAGAGCAACATGATGCTCCAATTCAACTACTTCAAAGGACAACGCTATGTCATGACTTCCAAATGACTACTGAGAAGTTGATGAGATGACCAATCAAAACAATCTGATTTTTCAGAGAATGCAATGTCATCTATCAAGAGTGAGAATTTTTTTTTAAACATCTCTATAACTTGACCATCCATCAAGGTCCATGGGAGCTTATAGGAAACTCCACTTCCTGTTATTTTCTACATTTCATTAGTTCAAAATAGCATTACACTATTAGGCTGCAATACTACTAGATGATGCTACAGATACAGAACTTGAGTTAATGGGAATTTGACTTCGCCTCTTCACATTTATAAAAATGATAATCTGCTTCTCATATGAAGGTAATTTTTTGCTCAAGGCAGGAGATATGTCACTCTCAGAAATCTGTAGAAGTGCTATAAGTCGCTCGAACATTGTTTTGAATATCTTCAGCTTTTGATACTTGTCTAGCTCTGCTTGTTGCCGAAAGGAGTCAAACTGATAGAGACAAATTCATGATTGAATACAATTAGATTAATAAATACACACACATATACACATATATACTCTCTGTCTTATTTATAAATCAATTTTAACATGTATCATTAGAATTAAAAAAAATCTTAAAACTCATTAACCTTGTTATTCAATGAGTTTTTAACGTATTAAATATATATAGTTTAATAACATTCTTTCTCTCACCATCATTTAATAGATGTAAAAGGGGAAACCTGTGATTAAAAAATAAATGACATGACTTGGAAATAAAACCAAAAATATCCTTCTCTTTCTGGTTTTTGCAGACAGGAGGGAGTATCTAATTTTTAACAATTATTGTTCTAACATTCTTATCACTTTACAATACAAATAAATATTTTTCAATTTCTGGATTTTATATGCATACATACAAGGGAGGTGATTAACACAGCCCACAATTGCATATCAGAACCACTAAAAGATAATTCTAACTAATGTTTAAAAACTTTATATCGGGATCATTTAAATTAAATTTGGGCGGTCAATATTTCATCTTAGCGATAAGCATATCGCTATGATAAGTGTTGAATGATATATACTTGCCCCACTTCATTGAATGCTTAACTTTCTAAATGCATCCTTTGACTCAATTGAAACAGCGTGCCTTCTATTTAACTAAGATGTGAGTTCTCGTGTCTCTCTCATTCTAAATATCACTTTGTGAATGGTGAGGATTCAAAAGCAATGGCCAACCAAGTCAAAAGGAGAGTGGGCGACATGGCTTATATCGCAGAGCAGTAATTGTCCTACATCTCCTGCACATAGGCCACAAATGTAGTAGATAGGGCGTTATTTGCTTTTCTTTCCATTATGTGTTTAGCAATTTGTTTCTCTCTAGTATAAAGGTGTATGATGTATGAGAGTGGAAGACTAGAAGTGGTTCATCAATCATCAGAACATTAAGTGTCTTGTACACTTGCTACTCAGAGTCCTTTTGATTATGAGATTTACAAGCATTCAAGATCTTGCCTTAATTTCTCCGATAAAATCTTTCTTTAAACCTTCATTTCATCTTGTTCATTCAGTTCTTATAAAAAAACATAAAGAAAATAATATAATGCAGATTTTATTCATGTAGACATTTACATAGGTTCGATAAAAACTTAATTTAAATTAGGAAGACATAAGGCAAGATATTTAGTTTCATATAATATGCGCACACAAACACTGATGTATTGAGATGATAACTAAGTTGAAATAAAAATTATTTTAATAACTAACTAAATATCAGATATTCTAACAGCAATAATGAGCTTTCTTTGAGAAATGGAAGCATTTTCAAACAATTCAGCACAGGCTACAATGGCAGGACAGCTCATGTGTTACTCCAGACTCAAAAGTTAACATTGTTAAGCAAGGGAAAAATTGAAAAAAGACAACTTTGTCCGCTGGTGGTGTTAACATTGTTAACTCTAAAAATGAGAACCTACCAACAGTGGTCCGGTCAAGTTAAAAGGAGGACACAACACACGGTATGTATAAAGCAAGGTTGATGGTTTGAATCTTATGATAAAAAAAAAAGAAAAGAAAAGAAAAGAAAAAAAAGATACCTGCTGGATTCTAGTAGTCAATTTCTCACACATGTCTTGCAATTTTGGCAAGTACATTTCCTACAACATGACAATCTGTAAGGTGAAATAAAAACAATCAAAAATCAAAACATTTGAAAACCTTGAGATCTTCACTACAATTGGATCTTATTGACTACAGGATATGTCAAGGATCCAAATCAATAGACTTAAAGTTATCATTTGAAAATGTCAGAAGTGTTAATTAATGTGATGCCCACAATTTTCCTCCACCAAAAAGCAATCAAGAGGCTCTTCAACACTCTGGGTTGATTTGACTATTCTCTATTGTTCTGCCAACTTTATTGAGAAAATGGAAATGGTAAAAAAATGGCATGTTTACCTTTTCGTATGCCTCTTCTTGCATTTTCCCTATAACAGATGGTTATGATAATATAAAAAAACATTAGTACATAGTACTGAAATAAATAAAGTAAAATAGTAGTCATTTTCTTATTTAACAAAGAAAAGAAAAAAAATGAAGTAACTGTCGGAAACTAATATAAAAGTAATATTCCCCCAATAATAAAAAAAAGGCACCTGGCAATATCAACTGTTCTCACTAAAAACTTTCCAAAGACATGGAGTACCTAATAAGTTACTGGCTGAGAATTAAGGGCTCTGTTTTATCGAAGGGAATAGCAACCACCAACTCAAGTTAAGAACGAATTGCATGGGCATAGTTACAAAATTATTGCTTAACAAGCTAGATTCATTTTTATAACTAAAGTCTTTTGAATATTACAATATAAATGCACAAAATTTTGAGTAATTTTTGAATCAATAATATAGAGTGCATGATTGATATAGAGTGAATTGATTGGAAAATCAAGAAAGCGTTAAAAGATTCCATAGATGAAAGTCAAATCCATAACAAAAAAAAAACCAAATATCTTGTCAGCAACAAATAATAACTGCATGAACAAGAAGTGATGGAGTCATTCATTATCTATTTTAGAAGACTTACAAATAATAAAACCTCAAATAACCAAAAGCTTAAATAGGCTAACAACTGAATTTGATGCCATTGGGTTGCATGTCAAGTTGAGAGACTTACGCTTCATTGAAACCTCCTTTAAAGTTATTTTATGCAAATAATCTGACTGCAATCGGGAATATAAAGGAAATAATTACAAGGTGATCCAGTAGATGAGGGGAGAAAAAAGAGGGCCACTTCATTACATCCTCAGTAAAATCATTTTACACAGCCACAAGTACCTCAAAAGATGATGATAACTTTGAGATCTGAAATATGAGCATACCTGACTTGTTGCACCAGCAAAACTCTTTCGCCCAAAACTTTGAGATGATTTTTCAAGTTCTTGTAGGCCATCATCATCAAGACCGTGAAATAGCTTTACTGCATTCATTCTACAAAGGCAAGAGAACAGTTCTCTTACATTTCATAAGATGAAGAGAGAAGCAATTACACATTCCTTAAAATATAAATTTTTAAACAATCAATAACAAGTCTTATCCCACTAGGTGGAGTCAACTATATGGATAATATGATGCCATTATACTCTATCATCAACCAAGTTTTTAGGAATATTGTTAACTAAGAGGTATGGTTCAACAACTTTTAAAAGTGTTTTCCTTGATCTTTCTCTACTCCTCATTACAAAGCTCAAGATTACCCATTTTACTCTCCCTACCGATGCTTCCCCCGACCTTCTCTATACTTGTCCAAACTATCTCAAATAATTTTCTACCATTTTTCCCTTAATGAGTGCTACGTACATTTTTTTTGAATATGCTCATTTTGGATTTTATCTTTTCATGTATACATGCACATCCTTCTCAACATTCTCATCTCTACTACTCCAA